GACTTTAGTTCCCCCTACCTCCACAGTTGAAGAACTTTTATGTTTTGATGGTTAAAGAAAATCATTTAATTTTTCCTTAAAAATCAACCCAGAAGTGCTTATCACCATAACCAAGTTCCATTTCAACTTTTTTTTTTTTTTGCAACAGATTGTAGCCCAAAGTGGAAAAAACAATGTATGTTGCATCCCCCTGTAGACCTTTCGATACAACTTTCTCCAAGCGATTTTTTTCTTCCCTTTTTTTCCCCCTTCTTAGAGGATTTTGGTCTCAGGCAATGTTGCAAGTCAATACTTCTTTCCCCAAATGTGAGTAGGTGGATGTGTATAGAAGCTGTAAAAGTTAATGATCGTTCTCTGACTCATAGCTGATGGTTTCAGGTTGAGGAAAAGAATAGAAAAAATTAATGAGGGTAAATAGACATTTGATGGAACCTGGAGACAGTGGGAGAGATTGTTCTTGCTTCTGAAGGCATGCGTTTTGTTGTAGCAGAATTTCTGAAGGAGAATGCCAGGAAGTGAAAAGGGGATGCCTTTGTTAAGTTGTTGTTTTAGGATGTTACAAATGTTCGGAACCTGGATCTTTGCAGGAATGTTTAGACCAGGTACCTACCAGTCTGTGCTGGTTTTTGACTTCCCTGGAGAGTTAGAGGCCCTCTTGGCACTTTTTAGAAGAGCAGGCAAGACCAGAAGCTTTGGGCAGAAATTTATTTCCCACTAACTGTAAGAGGTTTCCAACCTTGCATCAGGGGTGCTATCTCTGTCCTGAAAAGTGTCCAATGTCCTAAGAAAGAGTCTTAGTTAAAAAAAAAAAGGGATTCTGTCTTTTAATCTAAAGACAGGGAAATTAAACTGCCAGTGGCTCCTGGTGGTGGCTGCAGGGGAGCAAGGAAAGTGAACATTCCCCCCTCCCCCCAACCCAAAACCTTTTAGGAAATTTATCTGGGTTTTCCTTTTTGCATCCAAGAGAAAGGCAGGTGACTCATAAAAATGAAAATCAAGCAAATGCTCACTTCTGCCCATTTAGCGCACTGAATAGGCATACAAAATTACTCCTCATCACACTGGAACTTCTCTTAGTGCTGGAAAAACCTACATGGGGTTTCAAAGGTTTTTTGTTGCCTCTGAGAATGACAGATTCCTACAGTTGAAGAAGCTGTTTCCCTTTCCCATCTCTGGATATTTCTGATATCTTATATCTGAAACATCAAATTTAGGGCCAGCAGCAGTGATCAGAACTAAGATGAGAGAAATCAAGGTAGGATAATAATAGGGGAAGCGGTTAGTCGGCACGTGTTGGTTTTTCAATTGCAGGAGAATTGTGTAAGCCGGTGCTGAGTGCAGCCACATCCTCGTGTTCCTTCCTCTAGACACGTGAGGGCCATGTCATCTGGGGGTGTTAGAATGGGTGGGCTTGGCTGCTGTAAACACGCGTGTGGGAAGGGAAGGTTTGTTGACCATTGCACAGGATGAAATGAAAAGTGTCTTGGAGTTCTTATTTGTTGACTTGCAGGACACCCCAGGGAGGGGGGCACTATATTGGGGGTGTGCTGCTTACCCAGTATGTAGCCAGGAAAGTGATGTGGTCTGTGGCAGGTGACCCTAAGCATGTGGGAACTTGATGTTTCAATGGAGGTGAGCCACCCACAGCTGCCTTGGGGCTCCACCTTCCCCCCCATTTTCCAAAAACCAAAGGACCAATCTCCTGTTCCTGCCGTCTTTATAGCTCTTTAATTTTTTTTAATTTTACTTATTTATGCATACAAGAGCTGGGGTGTAGGCCAGAGGTGTGTGTGTGTGTGTTGTCGGGGGTGGTTGTGGTGAGAGGATTCACCAGAGGCAGAGTGGGGAACAGAACAGGCAATTCTACTGAAATACACTGCTGAGGGGAGCAGCAGGCAAGACAGGAGAGGTCTGCTGTGCCATGTGGGCTAATGCTCCCTGGCCAGGGATCGAACTCCTGTTACAGTGGCTGCTTCATAGTGCTGAGACTTAACCCCTTTCACCACAAAGGAGGGCCCCTGTCCTTATAGCTCTTTATAGAGATATAAATAAATTACTGTTCTTGATTAGAATGCCAAGTCTTTACTGTGTTTTTGTATTTTATCTTTGTCTTAAAAAGCTAGACTATAATGAACAAGGCATCTTTGTGTTTTGCAGGGAAGGAAAAAGCAGTTAAAATGTGTGTTTTAGAAAAGAGTATTTGAGAAAAGAGGGGGTGGAAACCCAAAGGAGAAACAAGAAAATTGTATGTCTCCCTGGCTGTAGCTGGGGAAGTTTAGCCCAAAATCTCTCTAGCACAGTGGTTACTGGCTGGGAGTAAAAATCTGATTGGAGCTCCTCATGCTGTGTGTATTTATGAGCTAGTCCAGGTTAGTCTGTGTGGCTGGACACCTAAGGAGGGAGGATACATTGCTTGGAGGTGTTGGAATGAGGGGTGTGTTGTATGTCTGAAGGTTAAAATAACTTTGTCGTAGTAGATTCTTAAGGACCTTACAGCTGCATTTTGACTGTTTTAATTGCAACATTCTCTCCGGGGTATGTTGTTTGGTGGTGATGAGTGCAAGGATTAAGAATGGAACCGGACAAGTGAAAATTGAATTTGGATTAGCCACAGTTTCATTAATTTATTCATAAGACTGTGATTATATGACTTTTTTTTCCACGACCTATACTTAGTTATCAGGTGTCCATTCAATTTTAATTGACAATCTGAGATTCCCGTGGTTACCCAGAGCGCAGATTGCCTAGGGCTCCGCAGGCTTTGTGGGAAGAAAAGCTTGGACAAGTTTCCATTAAGCTCTGAATCAGGCAGTTGGAAAAAAAGAGGAGAATAAAACTGGGCTGTAAAGGGGGACAAGTGGTTAGTGTTGCCTTCTCCATGTAGGAGAAAACCCCACTCTCAGGCAGGAGTGCTTCAGCCAAGAATTTCAAACTCGCAGAGAAACCTGTCCTGAGCACAAAAGTTGTTTTAACATGATGGGGAATTGTCACAGTAATTAGTGCAATCTCCGCTTTCTGACTGGCAGTTTTAACAAAAAGGACGGGGGGGGGGGGGGGGGGGCTTGGGGTGCAAATTCACCTCTCTTTTTCAGCGAGTTGCTGTAGATGAACTGCTTTTGTGAATGTGGGGGCTCTTTGGGGGGGTGATGTCTACAAAGGTGGTGAGCTTCCTTAGGCTGCTTTGCAATTGCAGCAATATTTTTTGCCTACCTTTATTGTACCTCCCTTTTTACTTGGATTAATACCACGTTTTGGGGCAAGCTCACTATACATATAGGTAGTGTTTGGGACAGATAAGATGATCTGAGATCCCACTTTGTCCTAAAAATGATTAACAGCCTTAGCCTATGAGCAGTATGGATTTTTTTTTTAAATTGATGACTGCTGTGTTGTGTTTATTTTGAGTTGGTTGAAAAGTTCTTAGGTGAATTTATTTTTTTATTTTTAAAAAAGATTTATTTATTTGTGCATACAAGAACTGGGGGACAGGCCAGAGGCGTGGGGTGGGGTGGGTGGGAGGATCCACCAGAGACAGAGTGGGGAACAGAACAGGCAGATTGACTGAAATACACTGCTGAGGGGAGCAGCGGGTGAGGCAGGAGAGGTCTGCTGCGCCATGTGGGTAGCTCCCTGGCCAGGGATTGAACTCGTGCTGCAGTGGCTGTGGATTGCTTAGTATGTTGCGGATTGCTTCATAGGTTATGTCTTAACCCCTTGCGCCACCAGGGAGGCCCAGGTGAATTTATTTTTTTAAAAAACCTCTGAACAGAATCATTTCTCTTGCATGGGGTAAACTAGGAGATAATTGGATCTAAGAGTCACTGGCAGGCTAGGATACACTTGTTACAGCAATATAGAAGTGTTTGGGTAATAGCAATTGTATCAGAGTGATAGCAATAGCCTGTCGGGAGGCAGATCTGTGTCTGGAAATGTCCCTGATTTACCTATTGCTGCCAGAGAGATGGGCAGTGATTTTGCTGGACCAGACATTCCTGGAGGCATTGTTTGTTCAGAGATTGCAAATAAAAGCACGTTTTCAGGTCTTGTTGAGATTCCAAGTGGTGATTGTATGGTTTGTGAAGGAAATCGACAGATGGGGTTTGCTTTTCCAATGGGTGGAATCCCAAGATTCACAAATGACATTTGGATGAGGAGAATTGTTGAAGAATCTGGCCATTCCCTTCTGCTGGGCACAACTCCCACTTACTTGCTAGGTGGCCTCAGAAGGCAAGACCAGGGAGAGACCTGCACCTTCTGCTCTGGAGGGTCTGAGTGAACTGGTGACATACTTTTCATCCAGGGGCCACCAAGTTGGTGGTGCTTAGGGAAGTCACAGCACCTTGGCAATGACCAGCTCCCTCTTTGGGGAAGTGAGGGCCCTTAGAATGTGCCATGTCCTGGGAGAGACAGCTTAGTCATCTCGAAAGAATGTATAAGGCATCGGGTGGCCCCTGATTCTGCCATGTGTTTTCCCCAAAATAGAATTGTATTCGAGAGCAAGAGCCCAGTTATTAGGAAGGGGGTGGGGGCTCGTACCTGTTGCAGCCTCGTGGCTTCTCCTCATCCTCCTTTCCCAGTCCGTCCCTCCTGTCTCCATGTCGCAGCACTGATGACTTTTGCAGCACACAGTTAATTTTTCTGCAGCATCCTGCTCAGCACACTGGCTTCCTTTATGTCTTAATGGGCATCCGTCTTCCCTTTTCATGTCATTGATTCTCACTCCTTGCCCCTCCCCTCCCCTTGTTGCTTATTCAATAGGCGTTTTTTTTGGAAAAAAAAAAAAAAAAAAACAAAACAAAACAAAACAAAAAAACAACTTTTCCTTAGATTATTATGATCATCTTGCCCGTAGCAACAAATAAAAAATACACAGGTCTTGAGTGAACACCAAGACTGCAGCTCAATCTGGGAAGGTCTGTCTGCTATTCATAAACTGCTTAAGATGTTTTCTTGTAGTTTGTGACATAAGCAGAACGCTTTGATTTGGTTTCTTTCTACAGCTCCATTTTCAGTCCGGGAGCACACATTACTCTGCGTACAAAACGATTGAACACCAGATTGCAATTCAGGTAGGAAATGCAAGAGATCCTGAAGCTTGAATGGTCAAAATGTAGGTCTCTTGTGTCTTTTTATTTTCCACCCTTTTCCCCCACCTACATGATGATGATGATGATGGTGATGATGGTGGTGCTGATTGATGATGATGGTGGTGCTGATGGTGGTGGTGGTGGTTGATTCATTGGGGGAGGTGGGCAACAATGAAGAAACAAGAGTAGAAGAAATGCTTCTAAATTGACCGAAGTCTTGGAAAGAAAAGGAAGCCTGCGTTTTTGGGTTAAGAGTTTCTTTCTTGATCAGACATAATGGACACACAGACCCTTGACCTGGCTACTGCTTGCTGCTGCATTGGGCCGTGGTGTTTTAAATTGGAAGTAAAATGTGATGACGGGATGTGCATGGGAGACTCAAGGTGGGAGATGCTGTGTTGAGGACGCCCTGTGACAGCAGAGGTGTTTCTGGTGGATGAAAATCGTGTTAAGTGGTGCTAAGAATATCCCCTGATTTGTCCCGATTGTCCTGAAATGTTGATTTCTCTCGGACCTGTTGATATATGACACTAAAAGTGCTGGAAGGGAAAGGCGACAGATCCCGGCTTCTGATGAGTGTCCTGTTTCCTGCTCACGTAGAACTTCCATTCTCTTAAATCCAAAGGCTAAACAAATCATGGACTAATATAGACTCGGAGTTGAACGGATGCCAACAGAATGCACTAGTGGAGGGGAGCAGACTAATAGGATTTTCATCTGTCTGCCTGGCCTTGCCTGGCCTTGCCAGGGTGAATGTATCTCATGGTGTAACTAATGGTACTGAAACTCCTTGCATGTTCTGGTTTAACCCTTTGAAGGGAGGGTTTCGAAACCTGCTGTGTTAAAGGCTGGCTTTTAAGTCTTCTTTTCTTGGAAGTTGGTGTTGGTTGGTGAGAGCTATACTTTCTTCCCTTGCTCCATTCTCATCATCCCTCCTCCCGATACCTTGGGTCGGTGGCCGCTTGGAACTGCAGCCACGTGGTGTGTTTGTAGCTCTGCTGTGTCGAAGCCGCACCTCCCTGCATAAGGCTTCCCAGTGGCTTCCTGGGTAAATCGTGAATCATTCCACCAGTGAAACGAAGGACTCCACAGACATTTTTATTTGCAGGATTCCTAATATTTTGGGAATATTCAAGGTGACATTTGGGAATTTCAAGGTGACAGCAATGTTTAAATAATATTTTGACTATTTCTGCAGTGGTGCTGCTGATCTACTGGGTGTGTATTTTAGAGGGCACAGTGTGACCCTTCACTTAACCCCTTCACCCTCAGATATTTTCCAGACTGGTGCCTTTAACTGGATGTTGCAGTAGTCCTGCTGGCACACTTCCTGCCGGACCTTCCTTCCTTTTGACTAATGCCCAGCGAGTCTGGCCCTTGGGAAAAGGCTTGGACTCAGAGCTTGGTTAGAAAACAGACCCAGATGCTGAGTCTTGATGAGGGATACGCAGCGGAGCAGGTCGTGAGGACTGCTGCATCTTGGGAGTGCTGGAACATCCTATCAGCCAGGGTGTGGGAATTGTTGGGGTTGAATAGCATAGTGATCTCTATCTCCGTGTGGAAAGGCTGGCTGGGGCCACGGCGCTGGGGGACCGGACCAGCTCAGCTGTTGTCTCTTTACACCCTTAGTTGAAGCGCCCCTTGTTAGGCTGAGCCGTGGGTCTTTCTCCAAACTACCTGGCACAGTGCAGGCCGTGTGAAGCTTTCTCAGGGGGAAGATGGAGTAAATTACAGAACTCATTGTTTGGGGACTGAAGCCATCCCTATTTCTCCATGAACAGGTAGTATTGTTCTCCCCTCCTGTCCCCCTGCCCCCCGCTTCTCTTTGGTGAGGGCTTGATGCCCATGTGGGTAAACAGAGAGATACTTTATTAGAGACTCGACACCGACATGCTTTCAGTGTTGCTCTCCCTTATCTCTGCTAGACCAAGACAGGCCAGGCGGCATCTAGCTGTAATTTTACTGTGGGCATCAAAGGATAAATGGCGAAAAAACCCCGACATGAAACAATGACTAAACCCAAAACTGAAAGAAGCAAAAGGAGAAAAGAGGAAACCTCAGACGCAATAAAATCGTTCCCGAAGCTGGCAGCAGCTCGCTGGAGGGTGGACGGAGAAGGAGGCCCTGCTTTGGTGCAGAGGACAGCGTGCCTTTTCCCTTCTTTCTGCCGCTGAAGCCTTCACACCGTCACTGTCCGGGCAGAATTTTCGTTCCTGGAAACTTAAAACTGTTTCACCTTAACAAATACTGTATTTCAGTGTGAGCTGAGCTTGTTGCTCTCCTAAGCTATACCCGAAAATAACCTGGAGTAGCATGACACCGCCCGTCACGCGATTCACCCCTTTCCCTTCCCAGCCCCCCTGTAATCTCGGGACTCGGCCAAGTGTACCGTCTGTATGAATGGCCACTGGGTGATTCTGAAGGCGGGTCGTGTTTTTATGAGATTTGGCTATTATCAGTTGCCGTGTTGCCACCTTCCCTGCTCTTGACTATCTGTTAACTCCTCTCAGTTTTGAAAAGACAAGAGTAACACAAATGTCCATGTCCCCTGAATGGTTAACACAAATACAACTGGAATGGAAATTAAAAGATTTTTTTTTTAAAGATTGATTTATTTATGCATGCAAGAACTGGGGCACAGGCCAGAGGTGAGGGGGTGAAAGGATTCACCAGAGACAGGTGGGGAGCAGAACAGGCAGATCTATTGAAATACACTGCTGAGGGGAGCAGCAGGCGAGTCAGGAGAGGTCTGCTGTGCCGTGTGGGTTGTTCCCTGGCTGGGGATCGAACTTGTGCTGCAGTGGCTGCAGATTGCTTCACTGTGTTGCATCTTAACCCCTTGCACCGCCAGGATGGCCCCAAGACTTTTTTTTAAAAGCAGTTATTTAACTCGACTTTTGTAAAGTTTTACAAAGAGGTGGAAGAATTTTTACACATATGAATATCCATGAAACCCTCAACCAACTCAATGTATAGAATAGGGTTGGGGTGCTTTTTCTGTGAAGAGCCAGCTACAGGTATTTTTGGCTTTGGGGGCCATGTAATCTCTATGGCAAATACTCAGTTCTGCCATTGTGGAATGAAAGCGGCCAAAAAGAATACCTAAAAGAATAGGTATGTTGGGCCTTCCCTGGTCGCACAGGCGGTTGAGCGCCGCGCTGTGAAGCTGTCTGCAGCCTCTGCAGCGCCAGTTCGATCCCTGCCAGCTGGCGAGGGTCCCACATGGCACGGCAGACCTCTCCTGTCTCGCCCGCTGCTCCCCTCAGCAGTGTGTTTCGTCAGTCTGCCTGTTCTGCTCCCTGCTCTGTCTCTGGTGAATCCTCTCACCCTCCCGTGCATCTGGCCCCTGTTCTTGTATAAATAAATAAATAAATCTTACAAAAAAAAAAAAAAAAAAAAAAAGAATAGGTATGTTGTGTCCCAGTGAAACATTATTTATCCAGTGACTAGATTTGGTTCATGGGCTATATTTGGCTCTTAGTAAAGAGCCCCCAAAAAGTTTAGGTTGTTTCTTCTTTTCTCATTCATACAGTTTCTCCCAATCCCCCAAAATCCTCACATAGACTGCTTTTACCTGTCACTTTTACCTGTTACCACGGGTTAGTTTTGCCTGTTGATTTCTGTATCATATGAATGGGAGTGTACAGATGTGTGTAAATGTGACTATCTCATGTTTGGTCCCCTTCAGCATTTTATTTTATTTTTTTAAGATTTATTTATTTATGCATACAAGAGCTGCCGTACAGGCCAGAGATGCAGGGGGGTTAGAGGATTCACCAGAGACAGAGTGGGGAACAGAACTGGCAGACTGACAAAATACACTGCTGAGGGGAGCAGCAGGCGTGACAGGAGAGGTCTGCTGCGCCATGTGGGTTTCTCCCTGGCTGGGGATTGAACTCGTGCTGCAGAGCTGTGTATTGCTTCATAGTGCGGTGCTTAACCCACTGAGCCACCAGGGAGGCCTTCCTTCAGCATTTTAATCTGCAAGTTTCAACCTGTTATTGTGTGTGGTTTGGTCTTTATACCTTTTATTTTGAGATGTGGTGTGGTAGATTGTTTGAGAATATGGAGTCTGGAAGTATATGGGGAGAAAAAAAAACATTGCATGCATGCTGAGATTTCTAGCTTGCATGCATGCTGAAGTTTTCTAACTAGATGAAAAAGAGTTGCTCTTTTTATTGCTGTATAGTATTCCACACCAGAATGTGCCACAGTGTATTCTTTCTCCGTTGTTGGGTATTTGGATGGCTTCCCATATTTTGCTATTATGAATAAAGCCTTAGTGACATACACACATCCTTTGGAGGAATATGTGTTCTGTTCATATTCAGGAGTGAACTTGGAGAGGCGTAGGGTAATATGTGTATTAGGTTGGCACTGACATTTGGAGAGAGACTTGAGCACTGGATTTTAAGTGTTGTTATTGAAATGCACTAGCAGAGTGGTGGTCAGGCTTGTGAGTAGTGTATGTAGGGGGGCCAGTAAAATGATATATTATGGTTGTGATCAGAGGCTAGTTTCCCCAGGCTCCAGTGCTGGCCTCTTCCCTGGTTTGGCCAGTGGCCCCAGCTTCTCGAGCCTCCTCCCACTGTCTCCATTAACCTGGGAAGAGATTTTGTAGACTAAATGCAGAGGTGGCTCTTCATTGCAGGTGCCTCCCAGGGATGCCCTGAAGGTGATGGTGGATAAATGTTGAGGCATCTCTGTTTCCTCCCTGGAGGAAACTCTTCCAACACTCCCACGCTCATCATTCCAACCCCATGAGCAGCATTGTAATCAAGGTCAAGGCCCACGGAGGATGTTTCCCTTGGTTTTTAGGAAGGTTACTTCAGAACCAGTTAGGCCTCTGTTTTAAGAGTATTTTGGCCAAAGGTTGATGTTTTAACACTAAGTCAGATGTGATTTAGGGGAAAAAACAACAAAAACTCCATAAGCAACAAAAACAAACTGTGTGGACCTTCCTTGGTGGTTTTTCTTTTAGA